ACATGCTGCATCATCATTGGTTCGATTGAGACCTATAGCCAACCACCAATACTCCTCAATACAACTCGTGTTTGGACATCAGCCAAACATTTCACATTTACGAGTTTTTGGTTGTGCTGTTTATGTGCCTATTGCACCCCCGCAACGCACTAAAATGGGACCTCAGCGTAAACTGGGAATTTATTTATGTGGGTTTTGATTCACCATCTATTATTAGATATTTGGAACCCTTGACAGGTGATATGTTTACAGCTCGTTTTGCTGATTGTCATTTTGATGAGACAGTCTTCCCATCGTTAGGGGGAGAAAAGACCGTTCCAGAAGAACGGAAAGAGCTGACATGGGTTGTTCCCACCTTGTCTCATTTTGATCCTCGAACCCTTCAATGTGAAAATGAAGTGAAAAGGATCGTTCAAAGCATTGCCAATCAAATGCCAGATGCATTTAATGACGCTATGAAAGTGACAAAATCGCATATACCAACAACTGCAAATGCACCTGCCAGAATTGATTGATGTCCCTGTTGGACAAAATAAAGTGGCAGCAGCGAATGATTCATCTGGTGCACGCCTGAAGCGTGGTAGACCACCAGGTTCAAAAGATTCAGCCCCTCGGAGGAGAAAGACGAGGGCACAACTGAATCCAAATGAAATCATTCAGGAAGAGAGAGAGTAAATGACGAATCCACAATTCATGACTCTGGACTTCCAGAAGAAGAAGAAAATGGCCCTGAAGAGACAGAAGTACATGAAAGCAAAGAAATCTCCATAAATTATGCATGTACTAATGAATTGTGGGATCGGAATGAAAATAATCATTGACGATATGTTTGCATTCGCAGTAGCCACTGAAATCATATTAAGTGATGATATTGAGCCCCGCTCTGTTGATGAATGCAAATAGAGACAAGATTGGCCTAAGTGGAAAGATGCAATCCAGGCAGAATTAAATTCCTTGGAAAGGCGAAGTGTTTTTTGGACCAGTAGTCCAAACCCCAACTGATGTAAACCCCGTAGGTTACAAATGGGTATTTACAAGGAAACGCAATGAGAAAAACGAGATTGCTAGATACAAAGCACGACTCGTTGCACAAGGCTTTTCACAAAGACCTGGAATTGATTATGAGGAGACATACTCTCCTGTAATGGACACAATTACGTTCCGTTACTTAATAAGTTTGGTGATTTCAGAAAAAACTTGACATGCGACTTTATGGATGTCATCACCGCGTATCTATATGGAGAATTAGATACTGACATATATATGAAAGTCCCAGAAGGACTTAAGTTGCCTGAAGCAACAAACAAACCACGGGGTATGTTCTCAATCAAATTAAGGCGATCACTATATGGGCTGAAACAATCTGGGCGAATGTGGTATAATCGTCTCAGTGAGTATTTGATTAAAGAAGGATATATCAACAATGTCATCTGCCCTTGTGTGTTCATTAAGAAATCCAACTCTGGATTTGCTATAGTGGCAGTATATGTTGATGATATGAACTTAGTTGGGACTCCTGAAGAGCTCCATAAAACGCTGAATATCTGAAAAGCGAATTTGAAATGAAAGACCTTGGGAAAACCAAATATTGTCTAGGCCTGCAGATCGAGCATTGTGTTAGTGGAATTTTGGTCCATCAATCAGCTTACATTGAAAAAATACTGAAGCGATTTGGCATGGACAAGGCTTATCCACTTAGCACCCCAATGGTCGTTCGTTCTTTAGACATTAAGAAAGATCCATTCCGTCCAAAGGAAGATGATGAACTGGTCCTTGGTCCAGAAGTACCATATTTGAGCGTAATAGGTGCTTTATTGTATTTAGCACAATGTACTAGACCAGATATAGCTTTTTCAGTTAACTTGTTAGCCAGGTATAACTCTGCTCCAACAATTCGTCATTGGAAGGGAGTCAAAGATGTTCTACGATACCTTCGTGGGACAACAGATATGGGTCTCTTCTACTCAGACAAGCCCACAAATGAACAGATCCTTGTTGGATACGCAGATGCTGGTTTTTTCTCCGATCCGCATAAAGCCCGTTCACAAAATGGATATGTGTTCACTAATGGAGATACTGCAATTTCATGGCGATCAACGAAGCAAACGCTAGTTGCAACATCTTCCAATCATTCGGAAATAATTGCTCTACATGAAGCAAGTCGTGAATGTTCTTGGTTAAGATCAATGATCCATCACATCCGGAATTCATGTGGTCTACCTTCAAAGACAGACACTCCAACTGTCATCCATGAAGATAATGCAGCCTGTGTCGCCCAGATGAAGGAAGGATTTATCAAAGGTGATAAGACTAAAACACATATCTCCAAGATTTTTCAGCGCACATGGGCTTCAGAAGGCTAAAGTTATTGAAGTCAGACAAATCCGTTCCAATGAAAATTTAGCAGACTTGTTCACCAAATCTCTACCAAAGTGCATATTTCAGAAGCTGGTGCAGGGAATCGGATTACGTCGGCTTACAAATTTGAAGAATGCAGAATCAGGGGGAGATCCAATTCAGGGGGAGCATCCATGATACATGCATGTTGTACTCTTTTTCCTTCGCTTAGGATTTTTCCCACTGGGTTTTTCCTATCAAGGTTTTAACGAGGCAACATAAGCATGCTCAACACCATCCGGATAAAGTTGTACTCTTTTTCCTTCGCTATGTTTTTTTTCCCACAGGGTTTTTCCAAGCAAGGTTTTAATGAGGCAACTGATGTTGATATGTGGGCATCCAAGGGGGAGTGTTGTAAATAGTATAATATGTATGCCCACATGCATACAGTGAACATGTCATATGTTTAACAGTGTTTTTGTTTGTTTCCATGGTGATGCTCTACGGGTTTTACAGCGAGGGGTTAGCGTTTTGATAATGAGATGATTTTCGCAAAGCTTTGTTTTACTGACTCACTCAACTTTGTTTTTGCGCCTCTCCAGGTTCAAGATAGCAGAGCTTTGGTGGCCACGAGGAATCCAACGGTGTTCTGACAGAATTCACAAAAGTAGGACTCACCCTCAGGTGTTACATCTTAGTAATTGTATCTTTAAAGCTTCCGAACTGTGTAAATGGTTACGTCACTCTCACGTGACGGCCAACATGCCCTCCTTCGGGACGGGGGGTGTGTCATGTTGGGCTTATAAACTTTCAGATAAGCATGAGCTCTTTAATTTTTGGTTTTTAAGACAAGTCACTTGAATGCAAACCCTAGACTTACGGTTTAGTGATATTAATTTTTATTTATAAGTGAGAAGTCTTAGTGATATTTCTACTAGGTGCACACCCAAAATTAAAGAGTCACTTAGTACAACGGTTTAGTGATATTCTTCTTTACTTGTAAGTGAGAGGTCTTAAGTTCGATTCTCGTCAAATGTTAATTTGAATCACATTATTGTTAGTTCATTTTGAGATTTAGCCTACTCTTCTACCTCTTTATTATAAATAATATTGTTTGTTAAGAAAAAGTAAAATAAAATAGAAGATAAATTGACTTCTTTTAGTTTTATTGGGAAAATTATATTATTATCGGAGGAATCAAACAAAATTAAGGATCAAAATTAAACAAAATGTCTAAGAGACTGAACATAGTGTCCAAAAGTCATTTCCTATAAAGCAAACTGCAATTGCATGCTACAGGATCAACTTGGTGTAAAAGAAACTAATTCTCTTACTCAGTCTGGGGGCGGTCCCTCGTGCTCCCCAATTCATAGACCAAAAGCAGACAACTTTACCATCGCTGCCAAACACACCCTTAAAGGGCGACTTAAAGAGAATAAATCAACCGACATGCATGCTTTTTCCTCCGTCCTCCCATCCCATCCATTCAGATTGAGATTATAGATAGAGTAAATTGCAGTAATAGTCCCTCAACTAAAAATTTATTATTATTGGTTCCTCAACTTATCAAAATGTGTAGCTATAATCATTTTCATCAGTTTCGTCAAAATCTTGTCAAAATAAGTTATGTTGGAATAACTATTTATAATTAGAATCCCTCAACTCATCAAAGTGTGTAATTATGGTTATTTTCGTTAACTACGTCAAAATTTTTGTCAAAACGAGTTATGTCGGAATGACCATTACTACAATTGAGTTAAATTTAAGGGATAATTTCTCTAGTTGAATTAAAGTTTAGAGACCAATGGTAATGAATTTTTTAGTTGAGGAATCATTGCTCCAATTGAGTTAAAGTTAAGGAACAATAGCTATAATTTACTCTTATAGATACACTGGGAAGGCATAGAGAGATGGAAAGGCATCGTCTCCAAATCCCTTCTACCTAATCCTACAAGTTCACAAATTTGGATCCTTAAAATTTGATCCAACGACTAAAAGCAAGGGACTCATAAAAAATTATAATAATTTTAACCGTAGGATCAAATTTTAAGAACACATATTTGTGGTCTTGGTGGGTTAGGTGGAAATGATCTAGATAGGATCCCTTTTCTAAAGAGATGATCTAACTTACTAAAGTAATGATTTATGTTATAAAACTTACACGTTATTATTTAAAAAAAAAAAAAAAAAAACAAGGTGACATAGTGATGATAAACTCGTTTCATATAAATTCAGAATATCACTAGCCTACAAAGCTTTGTTTGTCCTCCGTCTTGGACTTAGCAGTCATCATGACATTCCAGAACAATGATATAATTTGATGTTTTAAATTTTTTAGCCAACATTATTTTAGTGCAATGAGGTTTCACAGTGGCACAATAAAAGTATAAGAAACTTCTCCTTGAAATGTTTTTAGCAGTCACATGACTAAATTTAGGTCACACAACTTGTAAAAAAATTAATATAGGAGTACTATTAAAGAGATTAAATTTGTAAATAAAATTTGCAAATTAAATGACGTGTCATTAATAAGATCCAATAATCAATTTTCATATTATTTAGTTTACAAAATTTTAATCCCCTAATATTGCCCATAATATAAAGAAGGAAAAAACAAATATTTTTGAGTGTTTGTGTGCAAGTGAAATGAGTGGGAAACCAAGTGAAGTTCAAACAGCTGGTGAAAACATTAATGTGCTTGTTAAATGAGTGGGAAACAGATATTTTTAATACAAGTGCTTGCTTCTTTTTTCAAGCCATCCAGTCCACTGTTTGGTTGCAACGGCTTTAAATATCTTGCTGCAGTGCATTGCATAGAGATCCCAATCGAGTTAAAATCCCCTTCGATGAAAAGGTTAAACGTAGGGGGGAGAGAGAGAGAGAGCTAGAAACAAGCTTCACTTCATCAAAAGAGGCACAAAAGAAAGGAAGGGTTCATAGAAAAAGGCAAAGTTCCAACAAAAGTAGCCAAATTCTAAAACCTTGTGTGAAGAGAACCTGTTTCTCTCTCTCTCTCTCTCTCTCTCTCTCTCTCTCTACCTTTTGAAAATCTATGTTCTTCTTGTGTAAGGAGAGCCAAAAACAAAAAAACCTAATGCCAAAAGGGTAAACTCCTACATTATGTTTGCTCAACAAGTTAACAGAGGTTCTCCGTTTCAAAGCCCTAGCAAGATGTAGTAAACCAATGTGATCGGAAGAGCGATTAGCATTCCGAAGATAACCCTGCAAAACACAAAAAACAGACTCATATCAGATGAGTTCAGATAGAATACTACTAGTCTGATAACAAACGTGACGTTTAATCGAACTCAAGATGAAGATTGCTCGTGAGCGAACCCGGTGCTTAGTATGTCAGGATGAACATTGTATTCCTTGGCAAAGACAAACGGAACAATCCCTTGTGGAAGAGCTGCCTGAGAAATCAAACACAATACAAGGATTTTGTTATTCCTCTCAAAACTAACAAGGATATATATTCCCACATTCGATTTGTTATTGCATCGCTAAAACTCCCTTACCTGTACAATGGCAATGTGCAACAAAACACCTCGCAGTCCAACAGCAATTGAGGCCGCTGCCATGACAGCCGGCCCAGTGAGGAATCGAACTGCCATAGCAAAGGAAGCAACTGTATTTCCGCAAGCAATCATCCGTGGTTGTAAAGCCATGAACAAGCCTGCAATCCCATTACAAACAATATGCTCATTAACAATATACTTCAGGCTGTGGTCATGTATGACACAAAAGCTAAGGCATTAACGCTACAAGTTTAACATACCAAGACTAAACATGGCCATTCCAAGACCTGCATCAGACAGAATGGCTATCGAACGGGCTACAATTGCAGGCATAACAATGTGCCACCTGGAAAATCACAAACACAGATTATAAGCTTGGGAGTCTGATTTAAAATCCCCTTCGAAGTATTTGTACAATTCAATTACGCTTACTTGTAGGAGACCAGAGACCAGGTGAGGCCAATGAGGCTGGAGTAAGTGTTTGGGTTCCTAATCAGTTTTCGCCAAACCATAATAAGAATGAGTCGGGTCATAACGCTAGCAGGCGGCATGGCTGTGGTCTTTGATTCACCACCATTAGCTGTCTTGGGGTGGAGTTCAGAGGTGGAGCTCGAACCCAACTTGGAAAGCACCGGACCTTCCCGATCAGCCCCGTTTGAAGCCGGCCTGTTGTCGAAGCTGAACTCATCTCGGCCAAACTCATCATAATCTAATCAACACCAGTTGTGGATCAATATTCAAAGCAATAACAAACAAAAAGACTTCATCCACAAGCAGATAAACATTCAAACAAAAACCTGAAACATTCATCCAGACAAAAATACAAATACAGAAACATCCAAAATGGCACAATCATATCAAATAATTTACACACAACAATCTAATTTAATCTAATCTAACAGTAAATAAAGCCAAAACAGATTTCCAATTGCAAAAGCATTACCTTTGTGGAGAGCAGCAACCCCAGCAAGTTCATTGCCATATTCTCCTCTGAAAACATGAATGCCTCCTTCCGACACAGGCGAAGCGCTTGAGCTCCAAACAAACATGTGTAGGTCTTTGCCACCATCGGTGCCATTGGGTTGCTTCTTTGCCCCAGCGGCGGGTCCGGTCACCGGAGAGAATATCCCGGCACTGGGAGGCGCCGGATACCCCAAACTCCCCACATTTGCTGCTCCTCTGGGCCCCCCAACTCCTCTAGCCTCCTCATCAAACCCCACATTCCCGTAATTCGACTGCCTCGGACTCGCATTGCTCATGTTTTTCCCGTTCACCATGGAGTAGAAATCAGTGTGGTTAAAGCTGGAGCCTCTGGGAGTCGGGTTTCGCGAAGACTGAAGGCTGTAAATCTCAGCATTGGTGAGATTAGAAGGCCTTGGGGTTAAGGACACGCCGGAGTTGGGTCCGTGGGATCTTCTGGAGTATATTTCGGAGCGAGAGCTCGTCGATTTTCTGACAGTGACATGGAGCTTCCCGTCTTCTCCGACCTCGGCCTCTGTCTGCAACGGCTCTTTTCCGTCCAAGGAAATGATGTCGGAATCGACCCTGAAGGAAATGATGGAGCCGGCGGTGTCCGGGAACTGTTCACCAATGAGGAGGCGAGCGCCCCTGTACTCGAAGAGGAACAGCATAAGAGTGTACCAAATGATACACTGGAGGACGACGATTTGGACCATGAGGCTGCCGGAGGCGTCACCGTACATGCCCTTCAGAAGGGGTATCCCCATGACCAGAGTGTTGGGCAGAGTGGAGAGGGAGAAAAGAGTGATGGACCACTCGAGAGAGCCTCTGGCGCTGGTTCTCGACCACACGGCTAGGACCAACAGGACGATGACTTTCTGAAGCGTGTCAGCCGCTATGAACCTGTAGTTCATGGCATAGGGGTTGTTGGTGGAGATGAAGTGGAAGGAGAGCAGAGGAACTGCAAACAGAGCGACGAAGCGGTTGATGCCGGAGCATTGGTCGGGGCTGAAGATCTTCCACCATTTCACGGAGCCGTAGGCTAAGATCATGGCCACGTACAGCGGCACAACGGCGGTGAGGACGTGGTACAGGTCTGTGAAACTGATCATGTTTTCGTTTGGTTAAAGGTAGAGACTTTCTCTGTTTTTGATGCGTTTTTGTGGGATTTGAGCACTGCGAAGATGGGAAAATGGGGTTTGTATAAGAACCCAGTTGAGATTTTGCAGAAATCAGAAGGAGAATCAGGTTCTGTGGGTGAGTTTGAAAGCAAAATATCAACCTATATTCGTGGAGAGAGTCGATGACAGAGGTGAGTAAAGTGGCGAGATGAAAGCAATTGCCGGAAAATGACCGGAGTGTTGATTCTCTCTCTAACTACAGTCTAGAGAGAGAGAGAGTGAGAGGGAGGGTGGAGGTGTCAAGTGGGGATATGGGAGAAAAGCAAGTAAAGTGGGTTATATTTATGGCATTCTAATGGCAGACAAAGAAATAAAAGCTGAGGGCTTTTGTGAAGCTTTATTTAAGTCTTTTGGGAAGGGACTTGGGAACAGGCATCTCTCTGTGGACAAAGGGAAAGTGAGTAATTCAGTTTTTGAGAGGGAAAAAGACCAAACAGCATCGAAAGAGAAAAGGTTTGCAGAACAAAGAAAAGCTAGAGGAACTGAGGAAATGTATATTACCAAACATGGGAAGAGCATCTCACTCCTCACAAATGCAAATATTTTAGCTCACCATCATAAATATAGAGTATGTTCAGCGTACAATTAGAGATATTTTTTACTTGAATCAGAACACCCCGAAACACCACTTATTTTTATATAAGTGTTAGAAAATTTTATTTTTTAAGTTATTAACTTTTTAACACACATATCTCACCATTTGTATAGTGACGTGTGTTTTACCACCCCATATTCTGATCATACTAAAAAGTCTCTCGTACACTTAATCATCTATCACGTGTTCTTTCACTTAATTATAGTTAAATTTCACATTAAATATTACTTTTTCAATTACAAAAATTAATTAAAGTTAAGTGAAATGACATGTGACAAATAATTAGGCATATGATGAGCATACACCGTGGTTTTTGAGGAATCATTTACAAAAAAGGAAAACTAATGATAAGCCATCCAAAATTTCGGATTTTAACCAAAAACCATGTAATAAGTTTATTTAACAGTTAGTACAACGCCCAACGCTAAACAAGTCCAATTGAAATGGCCTAAACAATAAGTTTCTACTTCTGCCCTAATTGCAAGCCTTTTTCCATTTAATATCTCACTGCTATCCTTTATCTTCCCCATTTCTTACTGACATTATTATAGACCTTCCATTTTTTCTTTCCAATTTCACATTGCAGCTCCATCTCTGTCACTATGCAAAAACCACATATTCGACCCCCAAACTTAATTTTGAGCATGTCTCCATCTCCATCAAAATCATACGTAGACGATCTCCGCCATGCAAAATGGTATGATTTTGTCCATCTGCTCCTTTTATTTTTCTTATTCAATACTAGTACTAAACAAGAAAAACCTGAAAATCCTTATGCTTGTGGTTGGTTTGTGGTCCATGTTTCAATCGGAGACGACAATGACGAAAAAGAGAGAGATGCAACCACCTGGCACAACCTGAAGGGAAAACATGGTTGAAATCTCGAGATAATCAGATCCAAAGAGATAAAAAGTATAACATCAAGCCGTAGCCTCCATAACCTCAAATTCTTCATCTCCTTCCATCTTTCTCTCGTGTCCCCAAGATACTTGTGCTCCCCTACCCTTTTGATTAATTTTGACCTCCCTTTTCCTGATTGATTGACCTCAACCAATCAATTCTTAAATTACCTGTGTGTGTGTGTACATACGTTGTAATTGTTTTCTTGTTTGAGACTTTGCAGAGAAAGAGCCCTAGTGGGTGTTCGAGTGAAGATTTCTCCGGAGAGGGCTCCTCGGCTCTCAGCACAGCTTCCTAAGGGATTGGCACTTTGGATGTGTAGTCGGGCTCTTGCCTGCTGATGTGCTGCAAGAAGAGGACATAATTAGTTTTGAAAGGTGCCTTTGTGGGGCTTTAGGTGTAGACCTTGAGACTCGCAATCAAAACTAACTAAGTGTTAGGCGTGCCACTGCTATCTCAGTATAGCAGATGTAGAACAAGATTGTGTTTAGTCGACTACTTGCGCTCCAAGTTAGACAACCAGGATTCTAGGATAGTTACTCTAGTCAAGGATGTAAAACTATTGAGCTGATTCTTATGTAACCTCAACATTCAATGAAAATGACTTTTTTAAATTCACTTTGGCTTGCATTTCCTTCTTGAAACTCAACTATGATGAGCACATAAGTTGACTTTAGATTTCTTACAATGCTTATACTTTTTCAATGTAGCAATCCCTAACATCCCACAAGGTTCGATTATATTTCTTCAAAAATTTAACGTTAATTAGATGCCTCTGTAAGCTTCATTCCATATCTGCAAAGTAATATCCTCCTTTGTCCAGTACTTGGTTGATAATGAAAGGACCTTCCCAAGTCGGGGTCTACTTCCCAAAGCCTTTAACTTGAGCTCCCAAAGGCAAAATTGCTTTCCAAACTAACTCTCTTTCCTTGAAGGTCTTTAATTTTACCTTCTTGTTGTATGCTCGGGCAAAAATTCTCTTCCCCTCTTGAATTCTATCTAGAGCTTCAATTTGGGCTGCATCTAGATCTTCAACTCATTGACACATAGCCTGAATGTATCATTCACTGTGTAGCCCGAATTGGTTCTAAATCCTAACGGAACTCACATTAATCTTCATGGGGAGTGCAACGTCTTGCCCAAAGGTTAGAGCATAAGGAGTGGTTCCAGTTGCTACCTTATTGGAAGTTCTATAAGCCCACAAAGTTTCTCCTAGTTTCTCATGCCATTTTTCTGGACTCTCGGCCACCATTCTTTTAATAATGTTCACCAAGATCTTCTTGTTGACTTCTGCTTGACCATTTGACTAGGAGTAGTAAGGACTAGACTGAATCATCTTTATCTTGAGCTTACTTGCAAATTCCTTTACTTCTCTTGAAATAAAAGATGGCCTGCGGCCTGTGACAATTATTTCGGGCACCCCAAATCTGTGTAAGATCTTGGTTTCAATGAACTTCTTGACTGCAATTGATGTAATAGTCTTTACAGCTGAAGCTTCTACCCACTTGGTGAAGTAATTCGTCGCTATAATTATGAACGTGTGTCCCTTGCTATAGGTTGGATGAATTCGCCTGATGAAGTCCACTACCCATCCTCTGAAGGGCCAACGTTTGACCACGAGGTTCAAGGGTATTGAGGGCATATGTTGGCGAGATCTATGCCTTTGACATTCTTCACACCCTCGAGCATAAGCCTTGCAGTCTTTTTCCATCTTGGGCCAGAAATAGCCATACCTTTTAAGCAACCATCTCATCTTAGTTCCAGCTTGATGTGCCCCACAAATTCCTTCATGTACTTCGGCCATTACCCTCATTGATTCTTCCTGGCATAAACATTTCAGCAAAAGTCCATCTGGAGTCTTTCTTAATAGAGTTCCCTCCCACAAAACATACTTAGTTGCTTGTTGTTTATTTTTCTTACTCATGGGGAATGATGGATCTTTCAAATACTGAACAATATGTGTCCTCCAATCCTTTCTCTCTATTTCTTTAGTTATCACATCTAGGCTGAATCGCCTTTCAAAGATAGAGGGGAGATGTCTCTTCTGAACTTTTATATCCCATTCGAACTTCCTTTCTTAGATTTGTGCTCTAGAAGCTAATTATGCCATCTCATTGGCAATCGTGTTTGATTTTATGGGAATATGGTTGACTGATATTTTAGTGCCCCAATAGCTCAATAGTTGTGTGGATGCCAAATAGTAACTTGCTATGGTGATGTGTCTGCACTTGTATTCTCTATTTAACTGATTGATCACAAATTCTGAATCACCAAACACCTCAACTTTAGTTGCCCCCAACTCTATTAAGATCTCCAGGCCAATTATCAATGCCTCATACTCTGCCTAATTGTTGGTAGTCTCTTGATAATCCATAAGGAATGAATAGCAATGATAAGTACCCCTGGGATCAATGATGACAATCCCAGCTTTCGTAACATTTTGAGTGTAAGAACCATCAAAATACAGTCTCCAAGAAGTGATCCAGATGCTAGTTATTCTTTTTATTTCTGGCTGGATCCATTTTTTTTTGCACGAGAAGGCTTTGCTTGGCATGATCCATATACTGGCTACCTCTAGAGTTCATAATTTCTTCTTAAGACTCTTGGTGCTCAGCCAAGAAGTTTGCAATTGCTTGTCCCTTGATCGCTTTGTGAGGCATATGTTGAAAGCTAAACGCTGATAGTGCTAAAATCCACTTTCCAATTCTCCCAGTTAGCATTGGTTTTGACAGCATGTATTTGATCACATCTGTCTTTGTAATGATATGGATGGTAAGGCAACATGTAATGCCTTAGTTTTGAAGGCAGTGAAGTATAGAGCCAAACACAACCTCTCCACTGATGTATATCTCGTCTCTATCTCAGTAAGGATTCTACTGCGGTAGTATATTGCTTGTTCCTTCCCACCTTCATTGTTTTGGGCCAGCAAGTTTCCCATTGACTTTTTAGAGGCAAAAATATAAAGTTTTAAAGGCTTCCCCCTCTAAGGTGCCATGAGCACTGATGGGGAGGCTAAGTAAGCCTTTATTCTATTGAAAGCCTCTTGGTGTGGTAGGCCCCACTCCTTGTCTTTCAATCTTAGCAGAGAAGTTAGCAGCTGAATCTTGCCCACCAAGTTAGCAATAAATCTCCTTAAGAAGTTGATCTTTCCTAGTAGCCTTTGCAGTTGTACTTTATTAGTGGGATGAGGTGATTCCACTATTGCTCAAGCTTTATTCTTGTCAACCTCTACATTTATTTGATGAATAAGGAATCCCAAAAAGTTGCCCGACCTTACCCCGAAAACACATTTCTTTGGATTCATTTTCAGCTTATGGATTCTCATTCTTGTTAAAGCTTGTATGAGGTCTACCAAGTGTTGTTCTTCAGTTTTAGATTTCACCACGATGTCATCAATGTATACTTCCACGCTATAGCCGATCAAGTCATGAAAAATGGCATTCATCGCTCTTTGATAGATTGCACTAGCATTTTTAAGCCCGAATAGCATGACTAAGTATTCATATGCTCCCACATTGCCTGGGCACCTAAAAGCTACTTTGTGTATATCTTATTTAGCCATTTTTATCTGATTATAACCGGCATTCCCATCCATGAAAGATAGGACTTTGTGTTTGGCAACTGCATCTATGGATAAGTCAACTATGGGCATGGGATGTTCATCTTTAATCGTGGCTCCATTAATGTCTCTATAGTCAACACAACATCGAACTGCCTTAGTTATAGCTTTCAATACAGTACAATGTTGGCCAACCACTCGACATATTTGGCAAGCCTAATAAATCCAGCCTTCACTAGTCTTTCAATTTCTTCTTTGACTTTTTCCTCGATTTCCTTTGACATCCTCCATGGTGCTTGCTTTACAGGTTTATATCCCTCTTTAATATGCATCATGTGTTGTACTAAGGTTGGATCTA